CAGTCATTCATTTGATTCAAGGCTTCATCATGATCAATAAATGCGGGGAAAACTTACCGAGTCAGAAGGTTTCCCTAATTTCGGACAAAGTTTATGGCTTTGCTCAGTACTAGTCTCGAGTAAACAGACTACTACTCCGGTACTACTACCCATGATTACTGATTTTGTTGTTTGTGCACAACCAAAAGCAGTCATTACTTGAGCAAGGGTGTGCGAATAGTTTGTGCACAACCAAAATCAGTCATTACTCGAGCAAGGGTGTGCGAATATGTGGGGGAATGGACACATTTATTCTTCAACTTTGCAACAGAGAAGAGCCTTGACCTCTCTTGAATGTGTCCTTAACGGCCGTCCGGACAAACATCAAAAAGTCGCTCAAGACTTGTCCGAGCAACTCGGATCGCGCAACCTAGTAGGCTTTTCCTGTTTTAGCGACCTTGTTCCGAGTCCCGACAGGCTAAATTTACTTAACGAGTTGAGAAAGACCTAGGGCTATTAACTTACATTTCAACTCTCAGCATACTGTAGAGTATAGGCTTACAAATCCAAAAACCAACAGCAACAACAAGATTCACAGAAAAAAAAAAGGAGGTAGTATATATCACACACATATGTATCAAAAAAAAGCTATGTACAATAAAGTAAAGTATAGAAGATTAAATCCAACGACCAAAAAAAAAGGTTGACGTTAACCACCTCGAGCTCAACACTCAATCAGAAAGAGGTAAAAAAGACAGGGGGCTAAAAGCCTCGGCGAGCCAGGGGAAAGAGAAGCGTCATAACCCAAAGCCTAGTCAAAAAAAAAGGTCAAAGTTCAAGCGTCACAACAGAGACTGCAAGAAGTCGACGGCGACACCAGTAACCTAGTAGTTCCAAAAAAGGGATAAGGGTTAAGTAGGAAAGAGGTATATAACTCGATATACGCATATACGCAAGACGTAAAAAAAAAGGAAAAACTCCCTCTCTGAAGGAGGAAAACCAAAAGGGATATATGGGGATGTAAGTAGATGAGGGACGGAGAGAGACAGAGAACGAGATGAGATAAAGCAAGCTAAGGTGACCCCAGCTAGGGGGACCAATCATTGACCTAGGAAAAAAAATATCCACTAAAGCTCTTTGTTAGACAAACAGCTTCTGGCCAGAGGATAGGAACCTAGAGCCACTCCCACTCCCTCTCTCCTTCTATTCTGGTAATGCAATAGAGGGAAGCGAGTGAAGAGAGAGTAATAGGTAATAGGAGGGGGGAAAAAGAAACGGGGGATATACGCCCAGCCAGCCCAGCCGATATCGAGCACGGTAAAAAGCGGTAGTGTCAATAGAGAGATGAAAATCGAGATAGGGAATAGTACTAGGACTAAGAAGAGAGAAGAAGTACAAGATTCGGGAGGAAATGGGGGTTGGGGAAGAACACACATAAAAATCAGAGGGAATCAATCATAATTTGTAACGACAGGCTTATGTTTGGGGTGAAAGAGGGAAGGAGGAAGAGGGAAAAGAGACCTAAGGGGAACCGGGAACCAAGGGGGGAAAAGCAGCACGGAAAATCTGATCCGATCAAGGATTGGGAGTTGAGTAGAACGAGACGAGAAGAGGGTAGCACAAAAAGGAGACGACGGCGGCGGAGAGAGAAGGAAGGCGCGTTGCAATGCGTGAAAACAGACCAATGAAGTGAGACGGAAGGAAGAGGAATCAGGGCAGGACGCAGGACCCTAATCAATCCTTCATATCCTAACCCCCTAACCCCCCCAAAAAACCTCTCTCGCTCACACTCAATCATCCAATCCACTAACCCCATACGCACCCCTCGCAGGCGAATAAACACCAGGTGCAGCAGGAGTCACCACTACCCTCCCAGCTAAATTCGTATCAACCGAAGCCTTCCTCCCAACAACAACCGAAGAACCCGATCCCGAACCAGAGGTAGCAGGCGTCGTACTCCTACTCAACGGACTCTTCACACCTCCACTCCTACTCCCAGCTCGATTCCTCTCCGCGTACATCCTCAACATATCGTCAGGACTCATCGCGGCTACCACTCCTCCTCCCGTCGTTTCCGTTGTTGTTGTAGTTGTTCCAGGTGTAGACATAGAAGGGAAATAACCAGAACCCGATTGACTAAAACTACTCGCAATAGGCGATTCACTCATCTCCATCGCTTGTCCGAAACTTCCCGTTCCGTTAATAGCAGGGAAAGCTTCAGCGACAGGTGAAGCAGTGAATAGAGTTTCGTTCCTATCAGTACTGTAGTATGCGCCCCCGCTCCCCCCGTTGGGTGACATGGCGTAATCGTAGTGAACGGGAGTAGGGAACGAAGGTAATCTGGATGGTCCGAGGTTGGATTGACCGAGAGCGATGGAGTAGGCTTGGGCGTTGGAGTGTGCGAGAGCGAGGTCTTCGTCTTGGTCTTGGGCGCGCATCACTGTGAGGGTGAAGGGAAAGAGAGAGAGAGGGTAAATGTCAGACCACAAGAACTGGACCGAAAAAAAACTTCGAATAAAGATTACTCACTTGTCAAAGCAGGCCCAACATCCTCCTCCCTCAACGCCATAGGACCGGTCCTCTGCTTCGGGCTCATCACTCCATCTCCTGGAGTTTGCACCGGTTCCTCACCATCATACGCATAAGCCCCATACGCAGCATACATCGAGTCCAATTTCGCACTGCTAGCTCTCGCATCCTGACCGTTAATACCAGCCAAATACGAATCGAAAGAGTTGTCTCCAACAGCAACAGCAGCAGCAGCAACATCCACGTCGTCAGATCCACCACCACCACCATACACCTCTTCAAACCTCGAAAGCCTAGAAGCAGAAGCAGAAAGAGAAGGAGAAGAACCACCATGTCCAGTCGTGTTTATCGTCGTCGAGCTGTGATTACCAGCTGGCATGAATCCACTCAAAGAAGGGTTAAGGTTCCCTCCTCCTCCTCCTCCTCCTCTAACAAGAGCAGGGTTAATCCCTCCAACAAACATGCTCGCTCTCTCCGCGGCTCCTTCCGGCATAGGTGGGAAAGAAGAAGACTCGTCACCAGAGTAATGGAACGCACGACTTTGACCGGCTTGAGAACGTCTTTCGTATGCGGAACGGCGTGATTCGCCCGAAGGTCTAGGGCGGGGTACGGGGGAATCAGCGAAAGAGACTCGGGAGACGCGAGTGGTTGCGAGTGAGTTGGAGTAAGCGGTGGAACGGAGACCGACACCTGGGGAACGTTGTTGAACCATTTCTGGGGAGGAAGCGTATGCTCCACCACCACCGGCAGTAGCACCTACACCAGCATGACCACCGTCCGCTGGGTAGACTGATGAAGGAGGTCTGATAGCTCCGAAAGAGAAAGACGAAGCTCGAGGGTTAGCACCAGCACCACCACCTTCACCGACAGCCATGGAGTTGCGAATGGCAGCTTGGGCTCCAGCGGCAGACATGGATTGCCAGTTGGTGGAAATAGTCGACATGCGTTTATCGACATTCTCAGCAAAGGTTCTCCTCTTCTCTTTACCTCTCGCACGAGAAAGCTTGAAGTAAGCGAGGACACCGAGTCCGATCAAGACTAACAGGGGGACGAGAACGGCAGCGGCGATTTTGCCCTTGTGAGAAGACGGCGTTTCGGCTGGGGAAGCGTCCACCTTGGTGACGCCGGTGTCAGAAGAGGATTTGGAAATGTCTGCAATGTCTGGGGTTTCACCCGAAGAAGGGGCGGAGTAAGTGGCAGTAAAGACGGGGCCAGCTGGTAAAGTGGCCATGAAGGGTGCATCTCCGTGTTGAAGGATGAGAAGTTGGAGGGATTGGGAGGAGGTAGCGTTCCACCAACGGGGTTTGATGGTGGTGTTGTAGGAGCCTTCGGAGAAAGTGACACCGGACCAGAGATGCAACCGAGGATTCTCGAGGTTGGGAGCGAACAGGTAGATGTCGGCTTTGTCATTGGCAGGGGTGAGACAGGTTGGGTCCCAAGTAATGTTGAGAGGGTAAAGAGCGTTTATGGTAGAGGAGGTGGTTGGGGTTTTGTAGAATCCACCGCTAAGACAGTCTTGTGTGAAAAGAGGGGTTGTGGTTACTTTCTGCAGTCGGGAACAGCAATCGGAAAAGAGACATACCACCACTAGCACGGGCCTGGACAGTACGCTTGCCAATGCTGGCGTGGTTGAAGATGGCACCTGCTTTGGAGACTCGGAAATGTTCGAAACCCATTTTTTGATAATTGGAGTTGTAAAGAACGTCGGATGAAAAGGAGGGAAAAGAAGGTTGTTGTTTGGGTCGTAAGGAAAGACAGTGAAGGAACGGAACGCAACGAAGGACAGTCGGTCCTTTGGCTAGGGGAGACCGTATAGACGGGTGTCGGGGCCAACAACAACGATAGGGCGGAGTCTAAATTATTTTGCATCCATCAATCGTTGGTCATGTGACCCGTTTAAGCTCCGTACGGAAACCCCTGTCAGTTATCGTACAACATCTCGTTTACTATGTCACCTGTCTTTCCAGTTCTCTACCGTCTTCTTCTATATCGGACACACGAACAGGAATGGTGTTACTCACCAAGCCCTACATTCCCCATGGTCAAAGATCCCCGCAGTAATTTAAATTACGGCAAGTTCACGGACAGTATACAGACGCTTCAAATCAATTCGTCAGAGTTATACAAAACACGCTATCCACTAATTCCATCATGGTGTAGTGGCTAACATTATCGCCTCTCATATCGTTAAAAGAGTAGTATCTGCGCGATAGCCCAGGGTTCGATTCCCTGTGATGGAACTCTCCGGTCCAAATTATCTAGTATTTTTGTGATTCGGCCCACTTGATTTATTACTATACTTCAATGCATAATGCATTGAAAGTTTAGTGTAGTTTCATTCTTTTCATGTGTCAGGGCATTGACCTTACATTGAGTCTTGGAGCAAGTTGCAACTAGTACTGATTGACAGTGATTGTTGAGACTATCTGTACCAACTTGATAAGAGGAGATCTCAAATGAACTGATTATATACATCTTTCCATTGAAGGAAGTGTTTGTCATATCTTTCTCTTATGGATAACAATCTTCCAAAATTGAATCATTCAGGTGCCAGCATTAAGCATTACTGAACTGAACAATAGCACAGTCACATCATTGCCATTAGCAGTTACCCTGTTAACAGTGTTATATACATACATCATCATTACCTTATAGATCCTTACTTATTCATTAATATGAAAGTACTTAGAAATT